CCTATCTGTTGTTTAATTCAGTATCATTTGAACGGAAAGTTAGCTTTGAAAATAAATTATTTATTGACTGCATAAGTCACCTTATTTATAAATCCTAAATACTAATTGTTACTTCAATCTCTTAATGGGACATCAGTGAAAATGGACAACTTTTTTGAAGAGTATCGTCGGTCGAATGAACACCGCTAAATGTTTTCCATATTTCGATGCAGCTTGAACAAGCTTAGATAGACATTGCATGATTTGTTTCAGTAAGTCACATGTACAGACGCGGGAATCTTTATGACATTTCTGTCAAAAAAATACCACTTTAATATCATTTATAAGCATTTATTTTTACATGAAATCATTGGGTTCTTCAGTTGATAAGAGTTTATGCCCCCTTATAAGCAAGATTTTTCTGGGCTGGAGGATTTCAATGACTGTGTTATTTTGGCATACATGTATGATACATGTATATTCAAAACAGTTTTTAATTCGTTTTCAATGATTAAAAAATATTTTTCTAATTATGGGCACAGGTGAAATTAAGATTTCCCTGCAATCAGTTTATTTTCAGATAGATTGATTATGGTCTATCCTATCTATCTATCTATCTCTGCGTACTTGCCAACCCCTATACGAGTGTTAAAGGCAGAATTTAGTGCCACGTCGGATTGTTAGTAAAAGGTGAAAAGAAAAAGCTGAAAAAAGGGAAAAGTCCAAACATTGAACGATGCTTTAGGAAGGTGAGGTACTGGAGGAATGTATTCTATCATGTTAAAATGTTAATAGTGAAACAAGATGATATAGAGATAAAATTAGTTTAAAAAACACTGGGAGTTAAGACTAGTAAAGGGCAAACCCTGCCTTTGTTTGAACTGACTCATTTTGGGCAGGGGTGGCAATGTTACTTAGGAAGTTATTCCATAGTTATAATGCTTAATGAGGGAAGAAAGAGTACTTATTGGTGGTGTCGGAGGATACCTGTATTTGGCGTAGGGATAAGGGATGCATATGTCTGGTTTAATCTATGTGGGGGTTTGAACATAAGTTGGGAGATTTAATTGCAACTGGTTATGGTATATCTTATAAAACATTATCAGTCTACAGTCCAATCTGCGATGTTCAAGGGATCGCCAGCCCAGTTCTTCCTGCATCGGCTGTGACACTAGAATGAGGGGAGTAATCCCTTTATATGCAAAGTTTTACTTTGAAATTATTGGTTGCCTATAGATTATCCAAATTATTACTTTTTGCCTTAATTAAGGGTTATTTGGCATTGGTGCCTTTGAAAGAGTATTTATGTATTAATTATTCAAAATGCCCTAACTTGAAACTTCATAGGTGGTTTATACTTTGTTAAGGAGGGGTGCATTTGCACAATAATTGATAACTCTTCTTTTCATTTTTTAGTAATTTACCCTTTTTTACTTTTCATGCTTTAAATTTGTCCAGAACATAACAGTTTTTAGTATATTAGATTAAAACTTATAAACGGATATATCTCAATGAGGAGCAACGCAGTGCACAAGTTTGATGATACTTTACTTCTTTGTCTTAATTTACTGTCCTTTATTTCTTTTCTTGTATAATATTTTGTCCAGATCATAACTCAAAAGGCTTTAATTATTAGATATTAATTCGAAACTTCATGGGAGAATAGATCACAGTAAGAAGGAATACATGAGTTGATAAGAATGACAACCCTCCACATAATAATTTTGGAATGTTTGCCCTTTGTTTTATGTGAATTATTGTCCAAACGAATGAATTTTGTGAGAAGGGTTAATCATAGAGTATATAGTACTTGCAAGAAACGCAGACAATATAGATACATAATGAAAATGAATTTTGCAGAGTATATAGTACTTGCGAGAAAACGCAGACAATATAGATATGTAGTAAAATGTAGACGATATAGAGTATATACTAGTACTTGCGAGAAACGCAGACAATATAGGTATAAAGTGAAAATGAATTTTGCAGACATGTATTTCTTTTTCATTAACAGTATAGAACATATAGTAAAATGCAGACGATATAGAGTATATAGTACTTGCACGAGAAATGCAGACAATATAGAAAATATAGTGAAAATGAATTTTGCAGACATGTATTTCTTTTATTAACAGTATAAGAACATATAGTAAAATGCAGACGATATAGAGTATGTAGTTTTTGCGAGAAACGCAGACAATATAAATATATAGTGAAAATGAATTTTACAGACATGTATTTCTTTTATTAACAGTATTAGAACATATAGTAAATGCAGACGATATAGAGTTATATAGTACTTGCACGAGAAACGCAGACAATATAGATATATAGTGAAAATGAATTTTACAGACATGTGTTTTTTTTATTTACAGTATAGAAATATAATAAAATGCAGACGATATAGAGTATTATAGTACTTGCACGAGAAACGCAGACAAATATAGATTATAAAGTGTAAAATAAATTTAAAAGACAAAGTATTTCTTTTTTTTAACAGATGAAAGTTTCGTTTTCAGTAATTTTAAAAAATGGGGAGACGAAAAAAGAGGTTTTTATAGTTTCTCGCCCAAAAAACGCAGGGCAATGAGATAATTTGGGGATTTGAAAAATGATAAACACATTTTTAAATTTAAATTTTTATTTTTTACATCAATTTTGGTTTTTTTTTAATTAAAAAATGCTTTTTAACATTTTTTTTTATTAAATAATTTTTATGTTCCCTTTTTAAATGGAAATGAAATATAAAATTTAGGGTAAAAAAATATGTTCTGTTTTCCTTAAATTTATTTGAAATTTACTTTATTTTCCCCCCTTAAAATTTTTCCTCTTTCAGGGCCAAAAAAACCCCCAAATTTGAATTTTATCTTTCATTTATTTAAACAAACATAGTTTTTATCAGAAAAAAACCCACATATTTATATCATTATTATTCATTATTATTATTATTATTATTAAAAAATAATTATAAAAATATTTCTATTCCTTAAAATTCTAATTTATTATTTTAATATTAATACCTATAAATCTCTAATATCTTTAAATTTTTATCTTGAAATACAAATCTAAACAGCTTTGCAGGGTGTAATTTACACCTTCTTGTTCTATAAATTGTCCGCGTTTTGTGAAAACACTCTATATCTAGTGTGTGTGTGTGTGTGTGTGTGTGTGTGTGTGTGTGTGTGCGTGCGTGCGTGCGTGCGTGTGTGTGTGTGTGTGTGTGTGTGTGTGTGTGTTTACCCTCGCCACCGGAATGAACCATATGGGCGAGCTTCTTTTCCTATATCTATATTGTCTGCGTTTAACTATATATCCTATATTGCCTGCATAAGCGTCTGCCGTTTTAGCCTGTGTCATATTTAGTGCTGTTCAACCTTCAAAATGGCTGCCAAGATGAGATTCTTGAGCAGCCGCAATGTTGTTTTAGCTAGACAATTATTCAGGTTGGTTTGATTTGACATAATTTTTTCTAGTGTGGTAGCTTATATTATTTATTTCCAATTATTCGAAGGTGCTAAAATTTTATTATAACCCATGTTTTTAATGAACTTGCAAGCAAAATCCCAAGGGCGAACCGAGATATAAAAAGTACCCCACCCAGTCATAATTTCTTTGGCACAGACAATACACCCTTAAACACTTTCCCAACTAGCAGACGAACAGGCTATTCTTATCAGTAGTTTTTTCGAGTAAAGATAACCAGTTGCGTATCTCACTGTTATATAATCGTATGTAAAATGGTCTGACATATTATGCTCTAAATTATAACCCTCAAAGGAATTACGGACACTTCGGACAACAGACGTTTCGGACCAGACACTTCGGACCAGATTTTTGGTCATTTCGGACCAGATTTTTTGGGACATTTCGGACCATGTGATGGTCATTTCGGACCATGATGGAGACACTTCGGACCAGCACATATATTCCTTTTTATATGTAATTATTTGTTATTTCAGGATGTATTTAATATATTTTCTAATAATAAATGCTACAAATATTTGACATTGTTATATTTTATGATATTCAAAATGCATGCAGTAATGACCTGTCCGACGAGATTTTCACATTTTCTGACAAGCATATATTACCAATTGACAATTTTTTAATATTGAATTTAAAAAAAAGGAAGTGGCTAGCCGTACGGGCCCGTACGGCTAGCCAAAAGTTCTAGCCGTGCGTGAGTCACGTACGACTAGCAAGGACACACTGTATTGGCTAGCCGTACGGCATTTTCAAAATTATATGGAAGTCGAAAATGCATATGTTATTTTATGACTTTAAGCGAGGATTTTAACCAAGAAACAGCAATTGTCTTCGTATGTTAAATAGAGATAAATCGCCTTGTTGGCTATGTACAGTAAATAAAGTATGAATATCGATCTTTGTCACCTCAAGACATTGAGAAAAAATAGCGTTTGGTAGCAGTTCAATAATAGTTTACAAAATTTTGATGATAATCCTTTTTTGTTTCATTAAGTTTAATTTTCGACACCTTTAAAATGAAACCAAAAAATCCCGAAAATTATTGTTGTTGGGCTCTGATAATTATTGCGTCAATTACCGACGGTATAGAAGTTTGTTAATATAAGGAAAGTTTGCATGTTCCGTGAAACGCATTTTTTTTAAAATTCTATTGTCAGTCCCTGGGCTTTGATAAAGGCTAATTAGTTGATTGTGCTTTTACATGTATGTTCGATATTTATCTACTGTATTTGAAAATTATACAATTATTTTTGCTTTTCACCGTTTTTTTTTCAATGCTCTTTTTATTTATTTCACTCTGATCAATATTTATTGATGATAATTCGCTCCATGTGCCTAATTAACAAAATTTCATCTTTCATACAAATAAAACAACAAATCATAATCATGAGACAAAAAATAACACATGCATGTTCGACTTCCATATAATTTTAAAAAGTGCCGTACGGCTAGCCAATACAGTGAGTCCTGGCTAGCCGTACGGGCCTGTACGGCTAGCCACTTCCTAAAAAAAAACAATAATAGAATACCTTTAG